ACAAAATTTTGACAATACAACGAATGATTTCAAAAGTTTTATGGGCTTGCTACATCTATTTCATCTTAATTATCAATACTCTTAATATTTGGATCATAAATGATGCATGTCGAAGATTTGTCAATGAGTGATCGCACAATTAAAACTTTTACAGCCTTCTCTCCTTTTTTTTTTTTGTTTTTATATGTAAAATATTTATATCTTCATAAATACCGACATACCGAACGATAAGATCTAAGTAGAGAAATTGTTATTACATAATCACAGTTGTACAGCCATTTGCTACCTCGTATTTAATACAAAAATGCTTAGATACCAGTACCATAGAACTTGATTTTTTTTTCATTTATGTTCGTGTGTATGTTGTTCACATTTACGTTAATCTCAGTCTGATTAAGAATGTGTGTATATTGTATATCACAAAATGAAAAAAAAAAAAAAAAAAATATTCTACAATTTAATTAGGAAAACGTTGCCAATTAAAATGCCGTACAATTCAGATACATACGAATTTACAATCTAAGCAGTTTTGCAATATTATTAACTGATAATAATAAATATTTTAAAGGGCATACGTTTACATAATAATCGCAATAACACGTGACACAATAAAATTGGATATTATTATCAACAATGTGTCCACGTTTGCGGAATAAAGAAAATGAAACAACATGAAAGCAGATAGATTTAAAAAGTAGCTAAAAGATGAATAAGAAATATATATTGTTAAACAGTGGCAAATAGCAATAGAAAGAGAAAACAAAGGCTTCTACTATTATTTTGTTTCTTTTTCCTTGTCAAAATAGTTGAGCAGTCATTATCGCAAACAAGAACACATTCTACAATTAATAGAAATCAATTTTAGTTTTAGTCAGAGTACTCTTGGTTTATCGGAATCCATACTGCTACTATCTAAATAACAAATGCATTAGTCATATATCAAAACTACAAGTGATTAAAGATGATACAGGTTTATAGCAAGTATCTTTAGTTATAAATTGTAATATAAATGTTCAGCAAATTTTTTTTCTTTTTGTTTAAATGTTACATATTACTATTTTACGTAATTCATTATTGTACAATAATCTAATGATTATGTGTATGTTTTGCCATCTGGAGTGTGCAGATAATTCTTCCTCGATATCAGGGAACC